AGGATGAATTTCCATTAAAAGATGCAATACGAGTTGGATTGGGTAGAGAACAAGATCGAGAATTGTCCAATCGCAGAGATGACCGCGATCGTCCTCTGCACGAACGTACAGGCGTTCTTCCAGATCTCTATAGGCCATCATCAGATCATCATATCAGGGAGTCCGATCGACGACCGATTCGTGAATTCGAAAGAGACTATCGTAATCGAGATATGCGCGTTGAGATTCCGGGGGTTGACAGATATCGTGCTGACTACCCTCGAGACAATCACCAAGGTCGAGAACGATTGTCTGATAATATGAGTGACCGACACTCACGAGAACGAAGACCATCGTGGGAGTTGGAGAGAGAAAAGGATTATCGTGTCCCAGGAGCTTTCGCAGAGAAGGATCTAGCCGATAATCGAAGGACCCGCGAAAATGAATTTGAGAATCGGGGAAACTCGGACGAAAAGATCGAATCACATAAGCAATCATATCTTCAACCGGAAAGAAGGATATCAAGAAGTCTAGAAATTGATCAGATGAACCGATCCATCAAATTGGAAACCGTTCGTCGTGTTGACAATGAAAGAATTCCCTTATCTGTAAATGATAAGCATTTGCCAGAAATTCGTGTGAGGGACGAAAAAAGCACTGACGTTCAATCAAAAGAAAGTAATCAAGACTTGATTCTACCCAAAGATGAAGATGATTTACCTTACCCATGGAAGAAGTGTATTTCAAGCAAAAACAAAGTTTACTATTACAATACTGAAACCCATGCAAGTTATTGGAACTATCCTAGCGAAGATAATGGAAAGAAGCAAACAATCGACAGTCGTCAAGCCATTGAGCAAAGTGAAGGCGGTAAACACACCGATTACGAATCTTCACATAAGGATGATAACGGTGATGTCGATACCCCTCGAAAGAAATTGCGTTTAACTGCTGAACACGAATCAATAGATAGGATAATAATGCCTGATAATCGGAAGGATTCAAATAGTGAAAGATCACTCGGTCCTGATGAACAATTAACTTTCAACAACACACCCTCCAGTAGAGACCTGCCTTTAAGAGACTTGGAATCATCAGTTAGAAGAACTCGCAGCAATACTATAAACAATGTTACCACTACACCTCCAAAAATGCAGGCATCTTATTCGGAAGCATCACAATCTTCGCCTACGATTCGTTCTCCTGCTTCCATGTTTGGAGATCGTCGGTATAGTGCCGACTACGAATCAAGAAGAGGACCTTACGCTAGTCCACAGTTGCAATCACCTTCTTCATCCTTACGAAATCCTTTTGGACGTATTCCTCCCTCCGAATTTTATGATCATAACGACATGTTCCGTCATGACGATTTCGGTGGTGTTCGAGGTCCAGGTGGAATTATGGATATGCGTATGGCCGGAACAATGGGTAGCAACATTTCAGGAGTGATGATGCCGCAAGTAAATTCACAATTGCCAACAAATAATCGTTCGGGTCGGTTTATTCCAAATCATTCATTTGGTATGGATCAGGGACCAATGCCAGGAGTTCGTAGGATGTCTTCTGTTGGACGTGGTGGTTTACCATCAACGCATTTTCCCCCTCAGTACCGGAGAAGATCACCTTTCGAGGACGAGCGGATTGAAGAACAAACGAGTTCTATGATTGGTATCGAAACTGAAAATGGGCATGCTTCATCTCACAGATCTAATGGAAGTTTACGCAACCCCGTAGGAATTGGTAATAAAAATGGTATGAATAACGAGAGATTATACCCCATTGGTTTTGATCTAGTAATGAATTAGGGATCGAAAATACTAAATCTTTAATTCTATTCGGAAATGATAGAATCTGATGAAGAAGCTTGGCGTACAGAGGATGAAATGGTTGATTTCGAACTTGCCGATACTGAACCGCAATCTCTATTGTTTCGTCGCCCGGTTCCGTATAATCAATTTTCCCAACCTTTACCTGATAATGAAATAATCAGGCGCCAAGTTGCTCCTGTGTGGAATCACATTACCTCTAGCGTCGCAGGGGATGAACTTTTCCAGCAATTTGAACATATCATGAATGACAATAGTCATTCTCGAAAAAGGAAACGTGAACTGAGAATATTGAATTCGAGAAAGGAATTTGAACAGAGAAGAGCCATGTATGGTGGAAGGAGAATGTTCAGATACAAGGTTGATTAACATACACGTATTAAACGTTTTGATGTTCATTATTGTTTGATTTTTGATTCGTAATTCATTTAATAACTAGCATCTGTTTGCCACACCCCGTCAACTTCCAAAAACTGCTTACCCGGATTATTTTGTGTACCCAAAACTTGCACCTGAAATTCCAGACGAACTTGTACAATCATGCATAGACATTTATCAATTCCATAATGAAAACACTGTGCGGTGTAATAACGGTGTAGTGATCAATGTTGAAGACGATAATTCCGAAAACAGGTTAAACCGCAGTCGAATTGAAGACACGAGCGGCATTGAAGATGAGTCGGCAGCAGAAGTATCGAAGGCCGAAGATGGAGCAAATAAATGATGATTTCCCAGACAAGATATTAGCACTAATATCAATTGACATTTAATAAATTTGTAATCAATCCAATTTCTATTTTACTTTGTACTTTATTTTGTTTAATTTTGCTTTCTTTTAATTTCTACTTTGAGCAATAGCTATGTACAATACGTTTTATCAATATGCGAAAAATTTTTTAATAAAAATCACAATATTCGCAGTTTCTTAATTTATCCTATTGCGTCGTGTACACACCCCTAACATAAATTACCGGAAATCAACAATAAATATAAGACTAATTGAAAAAAGTAAATGCTATTTATTTATTTATTTTGATGCAAGTACAATTAACGATTTTGCTCATAAAAACTGATCTTTAATACAAGGCAATGACCAAGTAAATTGATTGCAAATTATACTAATACAACAATAATAACAATTTTAATAACAAATAGTATTATATATACTTTATTATCTATAGTAATAATGAACCTGTTTAGAGATTCTTTTAAAAAAATAATTGGTTTTCTATTTATAGATTCTATAATTTATTTAACTTAATTTTAATTTTAATTATATTTATTATTTTATATTTAAAAAAATTAAAAAGTTTTATAAAATTTTTCAAAAGATAGATATGTTATTATTCAATTTTATTTAATATATTAATATTGCTATTGCTTTTGAAATTTTTTTTGATATTAGTTAAATATTGTTTTGTAAATAAGCTAATATTTGACTTATTATATAAAGTATATAAGAGATATTATTTCTTTTTTTTTTTTTTTTAAAGGCTAAGTGCATTACATGTGAACTTTTATTTATTTAACATTGAAGTTACAATCATTACATGAAAGGTCTAATTAATTATTCTAGCTAATCTAACACTAGCACCTGCCTTTTTTCTAATCTGTTTATATTAACTTATATCTTATAAGTAGGTTTATATGTCAGATATAATTGATTCAAAAAGCATGTGCCTGTTAACCATTACTAGAATCCTTATTATATTTTTCTCTTCAACTTATACTTTGTAATACTTGACCTTATTTCTTTATACTTCCTAGTAAATGCTCCAAGAGTTATTTCTATAGTTGATATATACTACCAAATCTGGAGACCAAGATATTATTTCTTTTATAATATATATTATATATTGTTATACTGTATATAAATTAAATAAAGAAGACCTATGGGTCTATAGTGCAGTGGTTAACACTCCACAGGTCAGATCACAAGATACCGGTTCAATCCCAGGTAAAGGCGATTGAACAGTTTCATATAGTATCTGGTACTGTAACCTGTTATATACTGTTTCTTATGTGAAGCCGTTTCACATGCTGATCCAGCGAGTGTTGAGATTGTGTTCTCCAGAAAAGGTGTCATGTAGCATTGATCGTCCAGTTGGTGTTACAATGATCAACATTGCGCTTGGTGCATTTTCCAGTTCCACATTGATTGCTTCCTCCCCTATAGTCCATGAAACTATAAAAGAAAAACCTGTTAATTCCATTAGGCAACTAATAATCACTTTCGGGTTGAAATCTTACAGGACATGCTTAGAGATTCATGGCCACTTTACAGGATTTGCACCTTGCTTGGTATTCGTACCCCTAGATTTGGCAGCCTAAGCTAACTAAGAAACCTATCAGAGTGGCTACTGGGAGAGTAAGGAGTAATCCTTAAGGAGTCATGTCCTATTTGACTAGCAATCGAGCCTCCAGATTTGATAGTGTGTGCCAACCATAGGAAAACTCTTGGAGCATTTACTATGAAGTATAAAAAAGTAAGCTTCATGATATCAGGCATGTGTGTTGTCGGGTTGAGTGATAAAAAACCCTAGTAATAGCTAACAGATAAAAAATACAAAACAAAAAGCTCTCTGAAGTCCATGCTTAGGTATAAACCCATCTCCATAGTGTAAGTTGGTACTTGGGTTAGAATAAGGGTGGTGTGTCAATTAAATATAGACTGTTCATGTAATGGTTAATTGTAATCTATAAAACTTACAATAAAAATCCTCGTGTGTATTGCACTTTAGCCCTTAAAAAAAAAAAATAATAACTTAAATAAAGAAATAATATTTATCTATTATGAAAGACTCTTAAAAAAGTAAAAAAAAAATTCTTTT